AGTGCCATGTGATCTAACCAGGACACCCACCGTCCCTAGGGCCATGTGATCTAACCAGGACACCCACCGTCCCTAGGGGTCCTTGTGTTCTAAACCGGACAACCCCACCGTCCCTAGGGCCTTGTGAATCTAACCACGCCCACCGTTCCCTAGGGTCATGTGATCTAACCAGGACACCCACCGTCCCTAGGGCCATGTGATCTAACCAGGACACTGTCCCTAGGGTCATGTGATCTAACCAGGACACCCACCGTCCCTAGGGCCATGTGATCTAACCAGGACACCCACCGTCCTTAGGGTCATGTGATCTAACCAGGACACTCACCGTCCCTAGGGCCATGTGATCTAACCAGGCCACCGTCCCTAGGGCCATGTGATCTAACCAGGACACCCACCATCCCTAGGGCCTTGTGATCTAACCAGGACACTGTCCCTAGGGCCATGTGATCTAACCAGCCCACTGTCCCTAGGGTCATGTGATCTAACCAGCCCACTGTCCCTAGGGCATGTGATCTAACCAGGACACCACCGTCCCTAGGGCCATGTGATCTAACCAGCCCACGTCCCTAGGGCATGTGATCTAACCAGGACCCACGTCCCTAGGGCCATGTGATCTAACCAGCCCACGTCCCTAGGGCCATGTGATCTAACCAGGCCACCACATCCCTAGGGCCTGTGATCTAACCAGCCACCGTCCCTAGGGCCATGTGATCTAACCAGCCCACTGTCCCTAGGGCCATGTGATCTAACCAGCCCACTGTCCCTAGGGCCATGTGATCTAACCAGCCCACTGTCCCTAGGGCCATGTGATCTAACCAGCCCACTGTCCCTAGGGCCATGTGATCTAACCAGCCCACCGTCCCTAGGGCCATGTGATCTAACCAGCCCACTGTCCCTAGGGCCATGTGATCTAACCAGCCCACCGTCCCTAGGGTCATGTGATCTAACCAGGACACTGTCCCTAGGGCCATGTGATCTAACCAGCCCACTGTCCCTAGGGCCATGTGATCTAACCAGCCCACCGTCCCTAGGACCATGTGATCTAACCAGTCCACCGTCCCTAGGGCCATGTGATCTAACCAGCCCACTGTCCCTAGGGCCATGTGATCTAACCAGCCCACTGTCCCTAGGGCCATGTGATCTAACCAGCCCACTGTCCCTAGGGCCATGTGATCTAACCAGCCCACCGTCCCTAGGGTCATGTGATCTAACCAGCCCACCGTCCCTAGGACCAGAAGTTTGTCCTAGTCAGTTTATATGATCACGATATACTCCTCCTGTCCCTGATTAGAATTATGTCACTGTAGTCTATGAGGTACAGTGTACCATACTGTACATTCCTTACTGTATATGATGTGTCCATAATAGGATAGTCTTACTTTCTTGTCTTACAGCTTTCAGTTCAACTTCACCCACAACTGTTCTTCAGGGGTTCACAGGCATCTATGAGAGACATGGAATACGAGGATACTACAATGGGATGGGGGCCAGTTTCGTCCGGGCGATTCCATGTGCTCTGTTAAACTACACCTTGATGAAGAAACTCGACACAATGCTTTCCTGATTCAGAGTGATAGTCAATTATCATTTAAAAAAAAATGTTTTTGTGAATGATTTGATGTAATACTCTGTACACAACAACAACCTTAAAACTTGCTGCCTTTGTCAATAAACTGTCCCAAAATACTTCAAATCGCAATGAACTACCAAATAGTTCTGTGCAAGGACATTGCACAGATCATACATAAACATACTAACAAAGGCTTGTTGTTGGAGGACTGATTGGGGACCAATCTCCAGCCTGACCAAACCTTTGTTGACCCCTATAGTCATTAAATCAGTGTGAAGTATCTATGGCCTCCTCCCTTGTCTTTCTTTCACACCTTTGTGTGCAAAAACAAAAGTTTTGGACTCTAAATTACAGTGCAGTGTGTGCCCACAAAGAAGGTGTCTTCTGTGCATATTATAATGTATATCACAAAAATACAGCACTTCCTACAGTAACCTCCAAACGAGCTTCAATGCCATACAACACTCCTTCCATGGCCTCCAACTGCTCTTAAACACTAGTAAAACTAAATGCATGCTCTTCAACCGAACGCTGCTGGCACCCGCCCACCCGACTAGAATCACTACTCTCAACGGGTCTGACCTAGAGTATGTGGACAACTACAAATACCTAGGTGTCTGGTTAGACTGTAAACTCTCCTTCCAGACTCACATTAAGCATCTCCAATCCAAAGTTAAATCTAGAATCGGCTTCCTATTTCGCAACAAAGCCTCCTTCACTCATGCTGCCAAACATGCCCTCGTAAAACTGACTATCCTACCGATCCTTGACTTCGGCGATATCATTTACAAAATAGCTTCCAACACTCTACTCAGCAAATTGGATGTAGTCTATCACAGTGCCATCTGTTTTGTCACCAAAGCCCCATACACTACCCACCACTGTGACCTGTACGTTCTTGTTGGCTGGTCCTCACTACATATTCGTCACCAAACCCACTGGCTCCAGGTCATCTATAAATCACTGCTAGGCAAATCCCTGCCTTATCTTAGCTCATTGGTCACCATAGCAACACCCACCCGTAGTATGCGCTCCAGCAGGTATATCTCACTGGTCATCCCCAAAGTCAACACCTCCTTTGACCACCATTCCTTCCAGTTCTCTGCTGCCAATGACTGGAACGAACTGCAAAAATCTCTGAAGCTGGAGACACTTATCTCCCTCACTAACTTTAAGCATCAGTTGTCAGAGCAGCTTACCGATCACTGCACCTGTACACAGCCCATCTGTAATTAGCCCACCCAACCATCTCATCCCCATTTTGTTATTTACATTGTTATTTATTTTGCTCATTTGCACCCCATCATCTTCCGCACATCTATCACTCCAGTGTTAATACTAAATTATAATTGTAATTATTTGCACTATGGCCTATTTATTGCCTTACCACCATAACTTACTACATTTGCACACACTGTATATAGATGATTTTCTATTGTGTTATTGACTGTACCGTTTTGTTTACCCCATATGTGTTGTTGTTGTTTTTACCGCACTGCTTTGCTTTATCTTGGCCAGGTCGCAGTTGTAAATGAGAACTTGTTCTCAACTGGCTTACCTGGTTAAATAAAGGTGAAATAAAAAATAAATAAATGTAAATTTGGCAAATATACTTCTTTGGTTGTCATACTAAATATGGACGCTACTAAAACATGTATACATTGTAACCAGATTTGTAACCTTACGTTGCAGGCGTAAAACAACGATTTTAAAGGCTTGCGAGCATTGTGACGGTAGTAAAAGAGGAACCATTGGATGGGACAACCCAAACCCCGCCTTTGTCCTTGATCGACGTATCACACAGCCAGTTGCCTGTATCTACTTGGACTCGCGAGATTTGTGTGGCCTTTTCTGCTGCGTCACAGCGCCATAACGTTTTTTCATTGAGAGCGGCCATCTTCTCTCTCCAAGTTTGAGAAGAGAAGTGTTGCAAAAGATATGGCTGACTACTCGAACGTGGCTCCGCCGTCGGGAAATGGCGCCGGAATGAACGACGCGTTTAAAGACGCACTTCAGCGAGCTAGACAGGTAAGACAAATAATATAACGTAGCTAAAGGCGTCGAAATTGATAGTCGACAAGGAACTAAATCTAGCCCAAACCTCCCAGCTCGCAAAGTTGTCAATTTGCGGCCTTCGAGTTGGCTGTCCAACAAAGGAATGTAGCTAGCTAGTCAGCTAATTAGCCAGGTATTGCTAGCTATTTTAGTTATCTGGTTCAACGTGTTTCGGTCGACGGTGAATTGATAAAGTACAGTTTGATTAAGTTAATTGTGGTTTCAGTAAGTAGCTAATAAAACGATAATCAAGGTAGCGTAACGTTAGCTACGTTAACCATATGAGGCCTTTTCGAAGTACCTACTGTTGCATTGATTCTGTGGAGTTAGGTAATGCCATGATACAATGGCAGTTTAAGGCAAGATTGCCGAACGATGGTTGTTGCAACTATTTTACATTTCAATTATCAACTTTATCTGGGGAATCTTGATCGGCAGTGCCACCTAGTAGGCAATTTCTAGGAATCTTAATCAGAGCGCAGATATTGGTCATGTGATTAGTTTACTCATCCAATTTTTGGGGGGAAATCACCTCCAATGTCGGCCATTCACGTCTCATGTTGCTTCACTACAATATTTTATCATGATACCTTTAATACGTACTGTGTTCAATTTGTCCTGCTTAATTGACGAATATCCACTCTGGTACGCATGCTAATCGAAAGCCATGTTAAGTCAATGGGACACAGTCTAATTCGCTAGCTATGTAGATTTTACATTTCGTTTTTTGTATGCCTAACTGGATGAATACCATTTACGCTGCCTATCTTAGACTTGTGAAGTACAAAGTTAGCTAAATCTAGTTATGCTTATGTCTTCATTGACTTGACTGGCAGGAGGTTGAGTGGACGCCCAGGGCAGGGGCAACACCTCTGTTGGTTGTTTGTTAACTGATAAATTCCAGTAGCCTACAACCGGCTCTGTTCAGTCTTATGTAGCAACATTTGATTTTTTAAAATTAGATTGGATAAAAGTAGAAACTCAGAACTAGAAATGGCCTGTGAATGTTTTGGTACACCTGATGGAGAGCTCTTTTTCTACACTCATTCAGCATGTTCAAGCCCTCTTACGCTTTAGCCCCACCCAGCTCTTTAAGGAGTCACATGTGAGGCCATGTACTAAACGACCAAAGATTTCAAGACTAATGGCTGGTTTATACTACGGGTGTGATCATGAATTCAATCTGGAATGCAAGTGTGTGCTCAGAGTGCGCTCTGGGCGTTCGTAAACTCAGCGTTGTCTGATTGCCAGTTTCTTAAATTCAGAGCGTTTCGCTCTTGCAGTGTTCACTGCACACTCTGGCCAGGGAGTAGGGTTGATCCAAGCGTTCTGACCTAACAGCAGTCAAGTACCCAAGCTAAAGCTAACGGGCGTTGAGCTTTCGTAAATTCGTCAGTTATTCTGCGCTCTGAAATCAGAGTAGATAGCCAAAGCGAATTTACCAGCTACGTCTATCGACGGTGTCGCAGTGACATCATGAACATTCTATTGAAATGGTTAACGTTACTTGCATAGTGGAGTCTTTTTGTTTAGACGTGTAGCTAGCTAGCTAAACAATGAAACGTAATCCCAACTCATAATGTTACTACCCTGCATGAAACTGCAGGTAGCTAACCAACCAGGTTCGATGTTAGCTGGCTAGCTAACATTAGGCGGTAACTAGCAATGCAAATGGCTCAGGGATACAAATTATATTACTACACAGATCATACACGTAATGTGAGCGAGCCAGCTGACGTTAGCTAGCTAACAGTACGCTTTCACTTGAAATGAAAACGACTTTCTGACAAAATTAGAAACGTGTAATATCAAATGTAGCTAGCTAGACTATCTTACCCATGGGCTCCCGAGTGGCGCAGCGGTCTAAGGCACTGCATCTCAGTGCTTGAGGCGTCACTACAGACCCCCTGGTTCAATGCCAGGCTGTATCGCAACCGGCCGTGATTGGGAGTCCCATAATGCGGCGCACAATTGGCATAGCGTCGTCCGGGTTTGGCCGGTGTAGGCCGTCATTGTAAATAATAATTTGTTCTTAACTGACTTGCCTAGTTAAATAAAGGTAAAATAAAAAATACATGGATGGACGCTTCTCCCTCTTTGTTCAGTCATTTTATTGGCTAGCTAGCTAAAAACTTTACCAGTATTGTGCAAACATTTAGGGGCACAGGAAGAAAGTAAATAGTATGGCGTCTTCAGGAGAGCTATGAATGAGTGACCGATCTCTTGAATGTTGTCATCACAAACCTGACAGTGTACAATCTCAAAAGGAAACCAGTGCTTTTACAACGTAGAAACCTCATAATAATAATAAAAAATAAAAAATTCGAAGACAGGTATTCGTATCAACATTTAGCTTTTATGATGAAGTAATTGATTGATTAATTTTTTATTTAGAAAATAATGACTAAAGGATTTCACCCCAAATACGGTATAAATGTGTGAACTGTGTTAGTTATAATGTAGTGTAAATCCACTAACAGAGGGGGGGGGGGGGGTTAGAAACTGCTGAGACAAACATTCCAGGAGGAAGGAGACTTAGAAACTATTTCAACATTCTATACTGTGGAAATGTACAGACCCCCTGAAGATGGGTGGAGCAAAGTTCCTTTGTGTGACGTCATATATAAAAGCTGTATATGTGTTTTGGGGGCAGAGCTCTCCGTTATTAAACAATACAGATAATTCTTGCTGGTTGTGGACCTTTTGTTTAATTCATGATTTAAAACCAGAACCGTACAACCTCTGGGAATTATTCAAAGCATTAAGTTTAATTAGAGAGAGAATTCCGGTGACAGTAATGTATTTACAGTGTTACATATTAGTTTCTCGGGCACCTGCTTCACAAGTAGCTAGAATTCAGATGGGCCCAAATACAGGCCTAAATCTCAATCAATTAAAATTCGTATTTTCTGGTGCTCTTAAATTTCATGTCGCGTCTAAGTTTTTGGGACCACCAGCACTACCAATGAAACATGTTACATTACAGCCCTGGACAGGGGGATATATTCACACCAATGGATGGGTAGACTTCAGCTTTCTTCTCATGTGTATCATTCCTGTAAATCACGTTGCACAAGGCGTGCACTTTTAATGGCTGTGTTCCTATGGGAATTTGCACATGTTTAGATCGACACCATTGGGTAAAAGATCTGAGTACCCCCCCCATGAAAATAATTTTGGAACAGTAATTGGTGACATTTTATATCAAACCTAGACATTCAAATATCCCCCCCCCCAAACATTTTACATTAGTTTTTTGGGGGGCCTGCTGAATGTCGGGCATTAAGAGTGACATGGATTCGGACACCTTCTATCAGAATCCTGTAGTTCTAACGGTACTAAGCATGTTTGTAGGATATCGTTTTGAAACCGAAAAGTTTATTTGTCACGTCCTCCGCATCCGTTTTGCTGTCGCATGTGTTACGGTGTTCAGAGTTCGTTAGAAATGACGTAAATGTTATAACCAACTTATTGATGTGATTCTGATATAGGTCAGGCCCTACTGGTCGCGTGCATTTGACGCATACATGTGTCGAGCGGGAGGGTTGAGGGAATAGGGAATGTTTTTTTTTTCTAAACAAATGAAGGATTTCTGTAACAACTTTTCAGTCAGAAATGGCTGTAATTACGTTGCAGCTTCAGCAACATGGACAGCGCAGTACCCACTGTTGGATGTTCTGTGGTGGTCGGACAGCGCAGTACCCACTGTTGGATGTTCTGTGGTGGTCGGACAGCGCAGTACCCACTGTTGGATGTTCTGTGGTGGTCGGACAGCGCAGTACCCACTGTTGGATGTTCTGTGGTGGTCGGACAGCGCAGTACCCACTGTTGGATGTTCTGTGGTGGTCGGACAGCGCAGTACCCACTGTTGGATGTTCTGTGGTGGTCGGACAGCGCAGTACCCACTGTTGGATGTTCTGTGGTGGTCGGACAGCGCAGGAACCACTGTTGGATGTTCTGTGGTGGTCGGACAGCGCAGGAACCACTGTTGGATGTTCTGTGGTGGTCGGACAGCGCAGTACCCACTGTTGGATGTTCTGTGGTGGTCGTTGCCGTAGGGAGGAGAGCGGGACAACTAGTGCTAGTCAGTCAGTCACTGGTTTTTAAAAAGTCCAAGCCAGGCCCAGCACAATCAAATCAATTGCGGTCGGACTCCCTCTAGTAATTTGTGTCTTAATTATTTCATCAAACAGTGCGCTTAAAGCATCAGGCAAGATCAGTGAATGTAGTTGATTTGATTTAAAACACATAGGATGTCTATATATGGAGAAAAAAAATATGGTCGACATTCTAAATCAGTCTATTTTTTTAGTCGGACAGGCCTAGTCGGTACACAGCAGGGACATCTTTTGTTCTAGCAAGTGAAGAAATGGCCTCCTCTGTAGGTCCTGTGTGGCTCAGTTGGTAGCGCCTGCAACGCCAGGGTTGTGGGTTCGATTCCCACGGTAAAATGACTATGTAAATAAGTACCTATCGGCACTGAGATAGTCGTGTGTCTGTACCGTTAACCTAGCTACACGCTAGCTAACATTACGCCATTGAAAATAGCTAGCTCGCTACGGAAGCTGTGGTGTTGTCGAGGAGCCTAGCTCAAAGCTTAGATTGAGTGGGAACTGAGTGTTTTTGTATTTCAGATCGCCGCCAAGATTGGGGGTGACGGTGTACCCTCGGCGCCCTCAGGTAATGAGTTTGGCTATGGAGGCCAGAAGCGGCCCCTAGAAGATGCCGGTGAGTACTGTAGACCCATTTCATACCTCCGTATCTTCAGTGCGCCATTGTTTGCCTGTACGGTTATAGATTGGACTTGCCTTTCTTATCCCCAAGCCTGGTCTCAGATCTATTTGTGCTTTTGCCTACTTCATTGTCCAGATAAGTTAACAAACAGATCACCCACCATTTCGAATCACACCGTACCTTCTCCGCTATGCAATCCGGTTTCCGAGCTGGTCATGGGTGCACCTCAGCCACGCTTAAGGTCCTAAACGATATTATAACCGCGATCGATAATAGACAGTACTGTGCAGCCGTCTTCATCGACCTGGCCAAGGCTTTCGACTCTGTCAACCACCGCATTCTTATTGGCGGACTAAATAGCCTTGGTTTCTCAAATGACTGCCTCGCCTGGTTCACCAACTACTTCTCAGATAGAGTTCAATGTGTCAAATCGGAGGGCCTGTTGTCTGGACCTATGGCAGTCTCTATGGGGGTGCCACAGGGTTCAATTCTTGGGCCGACTCTTTTCTCCGTGTATATCAATGATGTCGCTCTTGCTGCTGGTGACTCTCAGATCCACCTCTACGCAGACGACACCATTTTGTATACATCTGGCCCTTCATTGGACACTGTGTTAACAAACCTCCAAACGAGCTTCAATGCCATACAACACTCCTTCCGTAGCCTCCAACTGCTCTTAAACACTAGTAAAACTAAATGCATGCTCTTCAATCGAACGCTGCTGGCACCCGCCCACCCGACTAGAATCACTACTCTCGACGGGTCTGACCTAGAGTATGTGGACAACTACAAATACCTAGGTGTCTGGTTAGACTGTAAACTCTCCTTCCAGACTCACATTAAGCATCTCCAATCAAAAGATAAATCTAGAATCGGCTTCCTATTTCGCAACAAAGCCTCCTTCACTCATGCTGTCAAACATGCCCTCGTAAAACTGACTATCCTACCGATCCTTGACTTCGGCGATGTCATTTACAAAATAGCTTCCAACACTCTACTCAGCAAATTGGATGGAGTCTATCACAGTGGCATCCGTTTTGTCACCAAAACCCCATATACTACCCACCATTGTGACCTGTACGCTCTCGTTGGCTGGCCCTCACTACATATTCGTCGCCAAACCCACTGGCTCCAGGTCATCTATAAATCACTGCAAAGCAAATCCCCGCCTTATCTTAGCTCATTGGTCACCATAGCAACACCCACCCGTAGTCTGCGCTCCAGCAGGTATATCTCACTGGTCATCCCCAAAGCCAACACCTCCTTTGGCCGCCATTCCTTCAAGTTCTCTGCTGCCAATGACTGAAACGAACTGCAAAAATCTCTGAAGCTGGAGATACTTATCTCCCTCACTAACTTTAAGCATCAGTTGTCAGAGCACCTTACCGATCACTGCACCTGTACACAGCCCATCTGAAATTAGCCCACCCAACAACCTCATCCCCATATTGTTATTTATTTTGCACATTATCTCTATTCGCACATCATCTTTTGCACATCTATCACTCCAGTGTTAATACTAATTGTAATTATTTTGCACTATAGCCTATTTATTGCCTTACCTCCATAACTTACTACATTTGCACACACTGTATATATATTTTCTGTTGTATTTTTTGACTTTATGTTTTGTTTTACCCCATATGTAACTCTGTTGTTTTTTATCAGCACTGCTTTGCTTTATCTTGGCCAGGTCGCAGTTGTAAATGAGAACCTGTTCTCAACTGGCTTACCTGGTTAAATAAAGGGGAAATAAATAAATACAAGCATGCAATTCCAGATATGACTAATCCATATGGAGTTGGCAAGAGAACAGAAATAGATGGGTGCACATGTAAAGTTGTGTATGTTCTGTTTAATTTAGTTGCAAAATGTTAATTGTCTAAACATTGATGCTTTCCCAGAAAGGCATGCATTGAGAATTCAGTCTTAGCACCTAGCTATGGTGTAGCTATAGAACTGGATACAACACTACTCTCCAGTGTCTAAACAAAACATTGATTATCCAATGTATAATGCAGATCCTAAATGGGAATCTTATCAGTTTTGCCTCTTGTATCACAGCTAAAACGGTGTGAAAATGAATGCTTTACTGTAAGTAGACCAAGTCTCTTGAAAAAGAGATGATCTCAATTAGACTAATCTGGATAAATAAAAGTTAAATAAAAGCATCTGCCAAACTGGCCCTAGGCCTGCGTTGTATGGAGAAACCCGGGTGTTGCTAGTGCATTTTGTTGTGTATCACCTGTTCCATTCTATCTGTTCACTCTACTTAGATGACTGTTGGACCAGTCTAAACAGTAGAACCCATCGGGAAGGAATGAGCTCTCCTTTCTCAGGCACGGTTCCCTTTTGATGAATAACCTTTAGGCACTTAGGCCATCAACAGGCTAAACCACACACTTGGTGTGGTATTATGATATAGATTAGGCATTATGATATAGATTAGGCATTATGATATAGATTAGGCATTATGATATAGATTAGGCATTATGATATAGATTAGGCATTATGATATAGATTAGGCATTATGTATAGTGTGAAATGACATGGATGATTGATCAGTAGTATGATGTATAGCCTTGTTAGAAATTATATCCTTACTGTTTTTTTGTGTGCTTTCTGTTCAATGCTGTTTAGACATGGCATAACATGCTTGACTTGGTTTAGTAATAAATTCCTTTAGTCAAGATCAAATCCGTTCTACTGTATCACGTCATGTGTAGTGTCAGATGTGCTCCGTTTTTGAATGAACGGGTCTGTTTAGTTCCATTGTTTGAAAGTGTTTCATTTAGCAGGGGGATTGGATGTCATAATAAACCACTAACCCTTGCTTGTTACTTTTTGATATATATTAGTTAGTCCATCTTGTTTTTCTAGAAAATACTATGTCTGTGCCATGTTGCACAGGTACTGATGTAATGTCAAAAGGCCATTTTCTCACTCAAAGTAGGAGCCTTGTAGTCCTGCTCTCAGCCCCAGCTCTGGGTAGTCCTGCTCTCAGCCCCAGCTCTGGGTAGTCCTGCTCTCAGCCCCAGCTCTGGGTAGTCCTGCTCTCAGCCCCAGCTCTGGGTAGTCCTGCTCTCAGCCCCAGCTCTGGGTAGTCCTGCTCTGGGGACCCTTGGCAGGCCAGTAACCCTGTCTCCTCTTCTCCTTACAGACCAACCAGAGACCAAGAAGGTGGCACCAAATGACCGTAAGTATCTTTAGCCTGCTGGCTGTTAAAGGAAATGTGTAGGATAGTTCCTCCTGTCTAGAAATAGCCTCTGGTACCTATGGGTTTATGGTTAAGTCCCAAATGGCACCCTATTCCCTTTGTAGTGCACTACTTTTGACCAGGGTCCGTAGGGCTTAGTGCACTACTTTTGACCAATCTAAGGAATAGGGGGCCCTTTGGGAAACGGACTATGGTGCACCTGGACAGGGCCCCATACTCATCCTCAGTATAGACTCTTTACTTGCCGCAGGGATATCTAATGGATCAAATCTGAGTTTTCTTAATTAGTGGTCCTCTTGTATCTGAATCTCTTTGGTTTCCTCATTGCAGCGTTCTCAGCAGCGATGGGTATGGGAGGGGGTGGTCCTCGGTCGTCTTCAGAGGAGTTCAAGGTCCCTGACGGAATGGTTGGATTCAGTAAGTACACACACACACGGTCCCTGAAGGAATGGTTGGATTCAGTAAGTACACACACACACACACACACAATGTGCAGATGGACTTTGGGGGTTGATTGCCAAATCTTTTCTACCCCAGTTATAGGAAGAGGAGGAGAACAGATATCCCGTATGCAGCAGGAGTCGGGGTGCAAAATCCAGATCGCCCCTGGTAAGATTTTCCTGAAGTCCGAACGTACTGATTTGCTCATAATGCCGAGTTCTGCATGCGTATCTCTACTCTGAAATGCCCCAACTCCTCTTCATCTCTCTGGATTGCAGACAGTGGAGGAATGCCTGATAGGTCGGTGACACTGACGGGATCCCCAGACTCAATACAGTACGTATACTTCTCCTGTCGTCCCTTCTCTGCCCTCTTCGATCTTCTCCCCCTCTATTCGCTGGCCTTCTCTCTCCCCTCTATTCGCTGGCCTTCTCTCCCCCCTCTATTCGCTGGCCTTCTCTCCCCCCTCTATTCGCTGGCCTTCTCTCCCCCCTCTATTCGCTGGCCTTCTCTCCCCCCTCTATTCGCTGGCCTTCTCTCCCCCCTCTATTCGCTGGCCTTCTCTCCCCCCTCTATTCGCTGGCCTTCTCTCCCCCCTCTATTCGCTGGCCTTCTCTCCCCTCTCATTTTCTGCCTTCTCTCTGGTCCCCCTACTATTCGCTGGGCCTTCTCTACTCCCCTCTCATTCGCTGGCTTCTTCCCCCTTATTCGCTGGCCTTCTCCCCCCTCTATTCGTCTGGCTTTCTCTCCCCCCTCTATTCGCTGGCCTTCTCTACCCCCTCTATCGTGGCTTCTCTCCCCCCTCTATCGCTGCCTTCTCCCCCCTCTATCGCTGCCTTAGTCTCTCCCTCATTCGCTGGCCTTCCTCTCCCCTCTATCGCTGGCTTCCTGTCCCTCTCTTTCGGGTGCCTTCTCCCCCCTCTATTCCAGGCCTTCTTCCCCTCTATTCGATGGGCCTCCCACCTCTATCCGGGTCTGTTACTCCCACCTCTATCGTGGCCAACCCTCCCCCTCATTCGTGGGCCTTTGTCCGTAGCTCTGCACTCTTCCCTATTCACTGATGTGTGACACAAAGTCCAAAGACATCTACATATCTGTACTTCCACTTTCATAGCTTTGGCCCTCGTCATGCCTGCTGATGTCTTTGCCTGATGCTGTTTACCAGACTGCCAGGTCCTACTTGTGTTTGTAGGCCTTTCTACCCACTGTCCGTGGCCTTAGCTAACGGTCCCATGTTCTTGGCCCCAACCAGAGCTGCCAAGAGGCTGCTAACGGAGATCGTTGATAAGGGTCGTCCTACTCCAGCCTTCCACCACAACGACGCCGGCGGTCCCTGGTATGTCTGTTCAGGAGATGCTGGTCCCTGCCTCCAAGGCTGGCCTGGTCATCGGGAAGGGAGGAGAGACCATCAAACAGCTGCAGGAGAGAGCCGGGGTCAAGATGGTGATGATCCAGGAAGGGCCTCAGAACACGGGCGCAGACAAACCTCTACGCATCTCTGGGGAACCTTTTAAAGTCCAGGTAAATGGAGACTCACTCCCTCAAGTACAACTGAAACGTTGAAGTGAAATTAGTCACTCTGAAAGAAATTGCTAACTACTCATTACTGCAAAGTTTCATGCTTATTTGCCCATGATATTTGCTTGGTGATATTTGCTTGGTGACGTTGAGGACCTGTTTGACTCCCGTGTCCTCCTGTGTTTTATCTGGTTGACTCCCGTGTCCTCAGCAAGCCAAAGAAATGGTGATGGAGCTGATCAGAGAACAAGGCTTCAGGGAGCAGAGGGGAGAGTATGGCTCCAGGATGGGGGGAGGAGGAGGAGGAGGAGGAGGAGGAGGAGAGGGCCTGGATGTAAGTCTACAGTAACACTCGTACTACACTGTCAAGGAATCCCAACGTTTGTTAACGGTAATGTCAGACTTTGCTCTCTCAGTATCTGAGCACGGGTGCGCTTCACGCCGCTACGTGGTTAGCTACAGGACCAAAACAGAGGAGTTAAGCCCTGTGCTGTAACACTCTTAGTTGTTGCGGAAATTGACCAGTTATTGTGTTCTTGCATTCAATGTCATCTGTCTGAGTCTACCTTTTCAGTAAGAATGTCAGTTTGTACAGATTGAACTGCCATCCGAGTTGGGAGGAGACTAGGGTTTGAAGGTATCCAGATTACCATACAGTGTCATCCCGGGATATACGGTATTACCGGTAGTGTACACAAGGGGCACTATTTCCCCCTTCCTAATGTAAAGAAAATAAAGGCCCAAAAAGTTACTTACCAGAATGCTAACAAGTACTAATGATTTCTCATAGCGGATGCTAGGTAAATGCTAACGTGCGCATGCAGACATATACTTCTAGGACAGACAACCCAGCTCATAAAGTTATGAGAGTATCTCAAAACGCAGTTTGCAGCACGCACAAAACAAATATTAGGCACCAGGGATCTTAATCCAGGATTGTCTCTGCTGCTGTTACCAATAAGCTTGATCTGCAAGCGTCGTTAACGTTAGCAAAACCCAGCTGGAGAGAATTTAGTTTGGCACATCTTAATGGTTAACTTAATAGTTATAAGATATATAGCTGGCAAACATTAGTAGTGAATTTTATTCAAGTGTAACTTGATCACCTCACTTAAGTGGCGCTGCAGGAGTGACTCAGCTCAGGAAGCTCCCGGTGGCGCTGCAGGAGTGACTCGGCTCAGGAAGCTCCCGGTGGCGCTGCAGGAGTGACTCAGCTCAGGAAGCTCCCGGTGGCGCTGCAGGAGTGACTCAGCTCAGGAAGCTCCCGGTGGCGCTGCAGGAGTGACTCAGCTCAGGAAGCTCCCGGTGGCGCTGCAGGAGTGACTCAGCTCAGGAAGCTCCCGGTGGCGCTGCAGGAGTGACTCAGCTCAGGAAGCTCCCATTGTGCTCGTTGTGCTTCTTTGTTATCAAACACACGTGACTGGCTGTAGTCCTAACAGTGAAATGCTTACTTACAAGCCCTTAATCAACAATGCAGTTTTAAGAAAAGTAAGTGCTAAGTAAAAAATGGATAACAAAAAATAAAATAATGAAAGAGCAGCAGTAAAATAACAGTAGTGAGGCTACAGGGGGTACAGGTTAGAGATAGTATGTAGGTAGAGTTAAAGTGACTATGCATAGATAATAAACAGGGGGGGGGGGGACGACGACAATGCAAATAGTCCGGGTAGCCATTTGATAAGCTATTCAGGAGTCTTATGGCTTGGGGGTAGAAGCTGTTAAGCCTTTTGGACCTAGACTTGCTGCTCCGGTACCGCTTGCCGTGCGGTAGCAGAGAGAACAGTATGACTAGGGTGGCTGGAGTCTTTGACAATTGTGGAAGGATGAACTAGTATGAAAACATTATTAAAAATATCATTAATGAAAATACATCAATCATTGTTTGAATACATTTTAAATTTTTGTCATTTAGCAGACGCTCTTATCCAGAGCAACTTAAAGGAGCAATTAGGGTTAAGTGCCTTGCTTAAGGGCACATCGACAGATTTTTCAGCTAGTCGGCTCGGGGAATAGAACCAGCAACCTTTCGGTTACTGGCACAACGCTCTTACCCATTAACAATGTCTACACTGTATTTCTGATCAATTTTATGTTATTTTAATGGACAAAAATTGCTTTTCTTTCAAAAACAAGGACATTTCTATGTGACCCCAAACTTTTGAACGGTAGCGTATATCCCGGCAGCTGTATGTTATCCATGTCGTCGTTCAGCCACGACTCGGTGAAACATAAGATATTACAGTTTCTAATGTCCCGTTGGTAAGATATCCGTGATCGTAGTTCGTCTATTTTGTTATCCAATGATTGTGCGTTGGCTAATAGGACTGATGGTAGAGGCAGATTACCCACTCGCCGTCGGATCCTTACAAGGCACCCCGACCTACGTCCCCGATATCACCATCTTTCTCATGCGAATGACGGGGATTTGGGCCTTGTCGGGTGTGTGACGACAAATCCTTCGCGTCCGACTCGTTAAAGGAAAAAAATATTTGTCCAGTGCGAGGTGAGGAATCGCTGTCCTGATATCCAGAAGCTCTTTTCTGTCATAAGAGACGGTGGCAGAAATATTATGTAAAAAATAAGTTACAAATAACGCGAAAAATACACACAATAGCACAATTGGTTAGGAGCCCGTAAAACACCAGCCATCTCCTCCGGCGCCATTCTTGCAGCTGTTTTGGGGAGCTAGTACCGGTTAGCTTCATAATGAAAAATTAACGAATGGGGGAAATGAACGCCATCTGCTTTATCTATTACCTAGTGCACTAGTTGACTGCAGGTATTTATTTAAATAGTACTAATATTCAAAGCCCCAAAAAGTCACTTACCAGAATGCTAACAAGTACTAAGTAATCCTCATAGAGAACGCTAACTAAATGCTAACGAGCGCTTTGTGATCATTTTGTACAGTTTCTGACCTAAACTATACAAGTAACTCAAACGCTACACCGTTTACTGCAAGGCTCTTGTTCCAGGAAGGGATTATCTACTGTTAACAAGCAAATGCTTGATTTTGGAAGACGCTAACCACTTAGGTAGATGGCTAACTAGCTACTAAATTAGCAAACCAAATGCACAACTGCAGAGCATTTAGCATATTTTAGACAGTTAACTTAATAGTTATAAAATATCTCTGGTAAACATTTAGTTGTGAATTCCGTACTGTAATTAGCTCACCTGGCGCTTGCTGCAGAACAGTGAGTGACTCACAAGGGTCTCTGGTTGTCGTGTGCTTCTAAACAAACACCATTGTACATTTTAGTCATTTAGCAGACGCTCTTATCCAGAGCGACTTACAGTTAGTGAGTCATTTAGCAGACGCTCTTATCCAGAGCCACTTACAGTTAGTGAGTCATTTAGCAGACGCTCTTATCCAGAGCGACTTACAGTTAGTGAGTCATTTAGCAGACGCTCTTATCCAGAGCCACTTACAGTTAGTGAGTCATTTAGCAGACGCTCTTATCCAGAGCCACTTACAGTTAGTGAGTCATTTAGCAGACGCTCTTATCCAGAGCGACTTACAGTTAGTGAATACATATATATATTTTTTCATACTGGTCCCCCGTGGGAATTGAACCCACAACCTTGGCGTTGCAAACGCCATGCTCTACCAACTGAGCTACATCCCTGCCGGCCATTCCCTCCCCTACCCTGGACGACGCTGGGCCAATTGTGCGCTGCCCATGAGTCTGGGACTACCTTAAGCTACATAATGTTTATCGCCTAACGTGTTACGCAAGTTCACTACAAATATTTATCATAAAAAACTTCAAATAAATAGTTTCGACGGTATTGAAAAACCATCCTGTGGCTTTTTCCAAATACCCCGGTATAGGGTATACCGCCCAAGCCTAAAGGAGACTATGTAATGGCATGCTTTATGTTTGTGTGTCCGTTTTTATCTGAAGGCATTTGAGTTGACTTCTAACCTGGCCTGTCCTCCCTCCCTTAGGTTCCTGTCCCCAGGTTTGCGGTGGGAATCGTGATCGGGAGAAATGGAGAGATGATCAAGAAGATCCAGAGCGACACAGGAGTCAGGATCCAGTTCAAACCAGGTGAGGGGTGACTGATAGAAAGCAGGTCTCAAATGGCACCCTATTCCCTATATAGTGCACTACTTTGGACCAGAACCTATGGGGCCCATTTGGGATGCAACTAGTCTGTTACCTGAGTGCAGACTATGTTAGTGAAGACTTCAACATTCTTCATGTTGACCTGATTGTCCAGTGATGAACTTGTCTGATATGGCAAAGCTATAGTTACTTTGACCTGGCCTCTCCCCGTGGCCGTGCCGCCTGACCTCTCCCCGCGGCCGTGCCACCTGACCTCGCCACCTGACCTCTCTCCGCGGCCGAGCCACCTGACCTCTCCCCGTGGCTGTGCCGCCTGGCCTCTCCCCGTGGCTGTGCCGCCTGACCTCTCCCCGTGGCCGTGCCGCCTGACCTCTCCCCGCGGCCGTGCCGCCTGACCTCTCCCCGTGGCCGTGCCGCCTGGCCTCTCCCCGTGGCCGAGCCGCCTGACCTCGCTGTGCCACCTGGCCTCTCCCCGCGGCCGAGCCACCTGGCCTCTCCCCGCGGCCGAGCCACCTGGCCTCTCCCCGCGGCCGAGCCCACCTGGCCTCTCCCCGCGGCCGTGCCGCCTGACCTCGCTGTGCCACCTGGCCTCTCCCCGCGGCGAGCCCTGACCTGTGTTTCTACCTCGCTGTGCCAGTACTTCCCCGCGTCCCACCCCCTCTCCAAAGCTCTCCCGCGGCCTACGTACTGTCCACCCATCTAAAGTTTCACTGCTGCTTTCATAAAAACGACAAATGCAATTGATTTAGTCAGACCCGATCTCAATATGCTTAATGGTTATTAAGTGGTTGACTAGAGGGAAAGTGTACTGACACTGGAGCTTACCGGGATTGAACTGCCAAACCATTCCGACAATTCAAACTAATAAACTCAACTCCTTTAGGTGGGGGGGGCAACACAACTGAGCAAAGTGAAACACTGACATCAACCCTACTTCCTTCTCTCCTTTTCCCCCTCCCCCTTCCTCTCCAGATGACGGCAGTACCCCGGAGAGGATAGCCCAGATCGTGGGTCCCCCTGACCAGTCCCAGCATGCAGCAGAGATCATCTCTGACCTTCTGAGGAGTGTCCAGCAGGGGGGGCCGGGCGGGCCTAACGGAGGGGGCAGGGGGAGAGGCAGGGGGGGTAACGGGGGCGGTAACTGGAACATGGGTCCTCCAGGCGGACTGCAGGAGTTCACCTTCACCGTCCCTACCATGAAGACTGGACTCATCATCGGCAAAGGTAGGTGAACTTAAAACTGTGTGTGTCTAAAATGACACCCGTTTCCTTTATATAGTGCACTTCTTAATGTGGCGGGAGAGGTGTGAGTGAACGCATGCTTCAGTTCTAGTCAGCTGGTGAACCGAACAAGTGTGCTCGCATATGCCCTTTTAAAGCCAGTATACACTTCCTCAAAATAAGATGACTCAAGAAATCTGTTATACATTTTTACCTTTTTGCTGAGGAGATCTTAGTTGCGTAATTTTACATCTAAGATGTTTGGTGTAGTGTTTCACAATGAAAACGAGTGGTCTCTTGTTGAATGACGACAAAGACTTTATGGAAGAATCCCTACTGTTGACCAATCACCGACGAAGGGGCGTAGACTTCGGCTACCGACTTTGGCCTCAACAAAAAAATAATGGTGTGACCCGAACAACCCGGGAAAAACCCTTACCGAAGTCCAAAACGTCGTCATAATAATATGTGCATAAACTCTTCCGGACTGTTTGGGCTGTGAAGCTGTCTGACGGAGTAGGCTGAAGATTGGTTTCCTGTAGGCCAAGTGTTTTTCTCTTACTGCAGTAGTCTTGTCTATTACATTTTTAGTCATTTAGCAGACGCTCTTATCCAGAGCGACTTACAGTTAGTGAGTGCATACAATTATTAACATTTTTTATTTTTTTTACTGGCCCCCTGTGGGAATCGAACCCACAACCCTAGCGTTGCAAACGCCTTGCTCTTACACAGGAATAAGTGCAGTGTTTCCCCTATATTAATGTATAGTTGCCGCCACTGCCCCCCCCAAATTTTTTTATCTGCGGCCAAGATGGCCTCTGGTTCTGTTTAGTAGCCCTGGGTCGTGTTCATTAGGCACCAAAAGGAAGAACCAAGCGCACACACGTTCTTCTGGAAATCTACTTTTTCTAGTTTAGTCTGAACAGTCCTACCTCTCTCCCGCTCCAGTCTAGTTTAGTCTGAACAGTCCTTCCTCTGCCCGCTCCAGTCTAGTTTAGTCTGAACAGTCCTACCTCCTCTGTCCCGCTCCAGTCTAGTTTAGTCTGAACAGTCCTACCTCCTCTGTCCCGCTCCAGTCTAGTTTAGTCTGAACAGTCCTACCTCCTCTGTCCCGCTCCAGTCTAGTTTAGTCTGAACAGTCCTTCCTCTGTCCGCTCCAGTCTAGTTTAGTCTGAACAGTCCTACCTCCTCTGTCCCGCTCCAGTCTAGTTTAGTCTGAACAGTCCTTCCTCTGTCCGCTCCAGTCTAGTTTAGTCTGAACAGTCCTTCCTCTGTCCCGCTCCAGTCTAGTTTAGTCTGAACAGTCCTTCCTCTGTCCGCTCCAGTCTAGTTTAGTCTGAACAGTCCTTCCTCTGCCCGCTCCAGTCTAGTTTAGTCTGAACAGTCCTTCCTCTGCCCGCTCCAGTCTAGTTTAGTCTGAACAGTCCTTCCTCTGCCCGCTCCAGTCTAGTTTAGTCTGAACAGTCCTTCCTCTGCCCGCTCCAGTCTAGTTTAGTCTGAACAGTCCTTCCTCTGTCCCACTCCAGGAGGAGAGACCATCAAGGGCATCAGCCAGCAGTCTGGGGCTCGTATTGAGCTACAGAGGAACCCTCCGCCCAACTCAGACCCCAACATCAAGATGTTCACCGTCCGAGGATCGCACCAACAGATAGACTACGCACGACAGCTGGTCGAGGAGAAGATCGGGGTGAGTGGTTTTCGGTGTTGATGTGTCTGCGGTATAAATCATACATATCTATGTGAAGCTCAGTCACTGGACAGTGGTATAGAAGTTTAGTGGATCACCTTTATTTAACTAGAAATCCATGTGTATGTGAATAACTGACTGGTCAGGAAGCACATTCTCAACTTTCTAAAGCCATTGCTCATTTCTGCATCTGTCGCCAGTACATTGTTTGACACCTCTGCACTCAATGTTCCCCAGGGTCCAGTCAGTCCAATGGGTGGTCCCCAAGGTCCTCCAGGTCCCCACGGAGGTCCCTCTCCCCACGGGCCCCCCGGCCCTCCTGGACCTCCTGCTCAGATGGGTCCCTACAACCCCGGCCCCTACAACCAGGGACCCCCAGGACCACAGTAAGATCACGTCTGAGGCTTTTCACTGATATTTAAATAGCCATTTCTCCCCCACCAATATTTACATCTGGGTGGCTGTTGATGTTTAGTTTAGTCCAAGCGTTTCATTTAGGAGGAAACGCAATACACATATTTTAAAAAGACTTAACCGATGGCGATGGATATTTACAAGCAAAGTAGGCTGAATGAGTGCATTAAAGTTGCACTACGCAGAAATTGCGCCGGCACTTCCTGGTTGCTAAAACTCATAATAGTTTGCTTAAATTTCAGTTTGTGACAAAATAAGCAAGTATAGTGTAGCGAATCATTGTACCGTCTAAACCGCTGTGAAATATATTTTCCATAACCAGAAATATAGTATTTTGAGCTGTTTTGAAGCTGGTGTAAAAAAACGAAAGTAAAAGACTCAAAAAACGAAACTTAACGGGAAGCATAGAAATAGGACACATAGAACAGATCTACCGCTTCTTAGACTGGCTTTCAAGTAGAATTATAGATCTATGTGAATTTGGTCAGGTCGCCCCCAAAAAGTGACACATTGCTGCTTTTTAAAATATATAATTCTTTATGAAATACTATTAAATGGGAGAGGAAAGTCAGATTTGATAGAGAAGGCTGTGTTGTAGTTTGTAGTTACCACCCAGCGTTGGTGACGGTTTGTTTCCTCTCCTCTTAGTGGTCCTCCTGCTCCCTACCAGCCTCAGGGTTGGGGCAACGGCTTCCCCCACTGGCAGCAGGGACAGCCTGATCCTGGTAAGGGACTAACACCGTCCAATATGATTATCTATTGATAAACGGATACATTCACCTGGCTAAATAGTTTGGACGTTGTTAAAAGGCCTTTTTTTTTTTATTGTAGTTGAGACAATCTGTCAATTTAAAAAAAAAAACTCCTATGAGTTTATTGGCTCCATTATGCAAGGCCTTAAGCCAAGACATGTTTATCCTGTGTAGGTGAATCAACAGGGGGATATCTAATGTGTGTATTGATTGTAGGTAAAGCTGCGGCTGACGCCAACGCAGCGGCCTGGGCAGCGTATTACTCCCAGTACCAACAGCAACCCCAGGCCCCCATGACACCCACCGGCGGCGCCCCAGGGAGCACACAGGCCAACGGGCAAGGTAACCAGGCTTCTCCCCCCACCCTGTCACATCCTCTGGTTCTCTGCTGGGATGTATTCACTAGGAACCAAACGGGCAGGGACATACCTGAATTTGTCCCAATAGAAACTAGTTTTCCGTTGCCAAACGTGCTACGGTTTGTTAGCGTGCGCTAACGAATACAACCCAGGTAACCTTTGCATGGTCTGTAGACACCTAGACTAAGGGCGGGATGAATTCCTTAGACTAAGGGCGGGATGAATTCCTTAGACTAAGGGCGGGATGAATTCCTTAGACTAAGGGCGGGATGAATTCCCTAGACTAAGGGCGGGATGAATTCCTTAGACTAAGGGCGGGATGAATTCCTTAGACTAAGGGCGGGATGAATTCCTTAGACTAAGGGCGGGATGAATTCCTTAGACTAAGGGCGGGATGAATTCCCTAGACTAAGGGCGGGATGGAATTCCCTAGACTAAGGGCGGGATGGAATTCCTTAGACTAAGGGCGGGATGGAATTCCCTAGACTAAGGGCGGGATGGAATTCCTTAGACTAAGGGCGGGATGGAATTCCCTAGACTAAGGGCGGGATTCATTCAAAGTGCCTTCTAACACTGCTGCACTGAACTACAGACAAGGTGCCTTTTTTCGCAGAGTTTTGCAGAGAATGCATTTATGAAAAAGGTTTTGGATGTCTGCTGAAGTGTCAAATACCTTTTTTAATAAGCGCCTTCGACATCACCTTAATGAGCAGTGCCTTAGTCGCTCAATGTACTACAGCTTGAATCCCGACCCTAACAGTCTTGCCAGTTTTCCACGTCTCTGGTTCGGAGCAGAGCGCCCCTAGCAGGGTGGAGGACTAACTACAGTTAGCCTCAGAGTGGTTCTCAATACTATATTGTACCATTTTTAACAGGTGACCCCAAGGGACCTGGTCACACTGGACAGGCAGATTACTCCAAGGCCTGGGAGGAATATTACAAGAAAATGGGTATAAACAGAAATACATGTTTTGCCAAGCTTCAGTTCTTAGTCTTTTATTGGAATTAACTGAGGATCAGTTTAAACAGCTATGGGGCTTTGAAACGGCAACTACAATAAAAAAAAAGCTTTTTTTTGGGGGGGGGGGGGGCGGGCTACGATTGTGAAATCTTGAGGCTTGGTTGCTGTGATCATTTGTGGTTGCGGTCCACCAGTTGGTTGGTTTCAAGCCCATGCTGTTTAGACTGGTTTTGTACTGGTGTTCCTATCTAACCACGGACTGGTGAACCTATCTAGCCAGAGACGGACTGGTGATGCTATCTAACCACAGACGGACTGGTGACGCTATTTAACCACAGACGGACTGGTGATGCTATCTAACCACAGACGGACTGGTGATGCTATCTAACCACAGACGGACTGGTGACGCTATTTAACCACAGACGGACTGGTGATGCTATCTAGCCACAGACGGACTGGTGATGCTATCTAACCACAGACGGACTGGTGACGCTATTTAACCACAGACGGACTGGTGATGCTATCTAGCCACAGACGGACTGGTGATGCTATCTAACCACAGACGGACTGGTGACGCTATCTAACCACAGACGGACTGGTGATGCTATCTAACCACAGACGGACTGGTGACGCTATCTAACCACAGACGGACTGGTGATGCTATCTAACCACAGACGGACTGGTGATGCTATCTAACCACAGACGGACTGGTGATGCTATCTAACCACAGACGGACTGGTTGATGCTATCTAACCACAGACGGACTGGTGACGCTATCTAAACCACAGACGACTGGTGACGCTATTTAACCACAGACGGACTGGTGATGCTATCTAACCACAGACGGACTGGTGATGCTATCTAACCACAGACGGACTGGTGATGCTATCTAACCACAGACGGACTGGTGATGCTATCCAGCCACAGACGGACTGGTCTTTCTACAGACTGGGAATAACAAGACCCTTGTATAAAGAGTATATTCTTTCCTCTGCACATCCCATACTGTTGTCTTGTCTATCTATTACCTGCTCATGTGCTGTAACACTGACTACATGGTAAAGGAACATAGTTTGTTGAGTCTGTGTGGAAGGTTGTTCTGTTGAGACTAAATCAGTGTTGTGTCATTTCCAGGACAGCCAGGCCAGCAGCCACAGGACTACACCAAGGCTTGGGAGGAGTACTATAAAAAACAAGGTGAGACGGCTGCCACCGAATATCTCAAAGTTTAAACTGCTGGCTGTAATGGTTTAGTAAGGCCAAGATGTCATTGGTCACGTTGTGGGCAGCTGTGCCCCCCCCTCTCAGCTCTCTCTCTGTAGTAGAGGGTCTGTCTCCACAGCTGCCCCAGAACAAGGCAGAGGGATTCTGTCCCACCACCCGAAGAACCGGTGGTGGGGTCGTTCCCCTTCTCACACTCACACCGATGTAGTTGTTTCTAAAAACCTTCTCCTTTTAGTATCCCAACCCTTTTTTTACGGATTTTGATCTATTCGAGACCTGGTCCACTTTGGTAGCACTGACTTGACTAGTCTCTATTACCTGCTTACCGATCTCCAAATCAAAGTTGATTGGTCGTCTACACAGATTTGGAGATGCAGTGAAAAGCTTGTGTTTCTAGCTCAACAGAGCAGTAATAAAATACCTAGCAATAAAACACATAATCCAGAAGAGAAACATTTACATTTAAATTTTTAGTCATTTAGCAGACACTCTTATCCAGAGCGACTTACAGGAGCAATTAGGGTTAAGTGCCTTGCTCAAGGGCACATCGACAGATTTTTCACCTAGTCGGCTCTGGGGATTAGAACCAGCGACCTTTCGGTTACTGGCACAACGCTCTTACCCACTAAGCTACCTGCCGCCCTAGGTGAGCAATGTCCGTCCATACACACCACAACACGGACAGGATATAAATAGGAAAAGGTGTTTACAGCAGTAGTTATATAGGATGAGCCATGACTAGAATACAATATATACTCATGAAGTGGTCCTCTGTAGCTCAGCTGGTAGAGCACGGCGCTTGTAACGCCAAGGGTAGTGGGTTCGATCCCCGGGACCACCCATAAACAAAAAAAATGTATGCACGCACGACTGTAAGTCGCTTTGGATGAAAGCGTCTGCTAAATGGCATATTATTTATTATTTTATTTAAAACAGTATGTAAACATTATTAAAGTGACCAGTGTTCAATGAATATGTACATGTGCAGGGTTGAGTACCTGTAGTAGCAGCTAGTAACAGAGGCTAAAGTTCGGGGCAGGGTGCTGGGCGGAGGCCGGCTAGTGGTGACTGTCTAACAGGCCGATGGCCTGGAGATATAAAGCTGTTTTTCCAGTCTCTCGGTCCCAGCTTTGATGCACCTGCACTGGCCTTCTAGATGGTGATGGTTAACAGGCCGTGGCTCAGGGTGGTAACATTTTTCTTAATGTTTAATCAGCCATAAAAAATAAAACAATTTTAAGAAAATCGTAAAATGACATGTGCTGGCTACCAGACGACGCTGTCCCCCCCCCCCCCCCCACCCGTTCAGCAATGATGGTAGTTAATGCAGTTTTTAGGTTCTCTGCTGTGTGCCTCCATGTTCTCAGTGGGCAACACATGGCCCACTTCCTCATCCGTGTGATTGCTCGTGGCAGTGCTGTATGACAGCGTGTCCACAGACGTCTAACCTGTTAACGCCATGTATGGTGTTGGAAACCTTGCGCTTGGTACTTGCAGAGCAGTCATTTCTCCATCGGGGCCGTCACTTCGCATCGGGGTCAGATATTCTTCGAGGTTTAAAGCAACATTAGTATAGCAAGACATCCATTACATTTATAATTGGCGCGATCAACGAAGAGCTTACAGGAGTCATTGGTAAGTCTTCGCTCAAGGGCCAATTAACGTTTTTGAAGAGCCGTTAGTCGTGGCGGCCACAATTGCGTTCCCCAGCGTTGGGTCACGTTACAATTTGAGGGTAGGGAGTTGACTGGTTTGCAGAACTTAGCCTATCGGTTGTCTTAAGAGGTGGGGTTTCAAGGTCTCCGGATTGTCAGTGGTTACGCTTCCTGGCTTGGGAGCTTGTTCAACCTCCAGAGAAGTAACATTTTTGACGTTGCCTGACGTGAGTGGTGTCCGACCAGAGGGGAGCAGCATGGATATTTGTGAACGTCTATGTCCTAGTTTGGGGTGGTAAATTTCAGTAAGTAAAACGAAAACAGGTTAGTTCCTCAATAACTAAGGAGATCTATTGTTTGTAAGCGGAATGCATTTAATAACCAATGGAGTGCTAATCAGGGTGGTGGTGAGAACTTGATTAAAGTTGACAATGGCTGCGTATCAACTGCAATAGTTTCTGTAATCAGTGCTGTGATTTTGTCACGCTGTCCATTATTAGGCTTTTGTGTGAAGAGCCCGTCTGTCTGTTGGCGGCCTACGCTGCTTCCCGCGACGGTTTGGGTCTCGCGGTGCATCTTTCAGATGGTTAAGCATTGCACCTGTACTTGCCCCTGTAGAGCCTGTGTGTCTGTTGGCGGCCTACGCTGCTTCCCGGTCTCGCGGTGCATCTTTCAGATGGTTAAGCATTGCACCTGTACTTGCCACTGTAGAGCCCGTGTGTCTGTTGGCGGCCTACGCTGCTTCCCGCGACGGTTTGGGTCTCGCGGTGCATCTTTCAGATGGTTAAGCATTGCACCTGTACTTGCCACTGTAGCTCAATTCCTCCTTGTAAAGTTTGCATTTCACCATCTGTTTCCCATATATTCATTTAGCAGTGGTGGGCCACCACTCAAATATATGATTATTAAATTTTTTTAAAATAGTTTTCGGGATTGGTAAAACATTTTCAGTGTTAATGTAAAACAAAAACCAGATATAAAGATGTAGAAAATAAAATAATGGAGGTATGTGTTTTTTTTATAAGATCTCAAAGATGAACTAACAATCACCAAGATATTATAAAAAAAATTACAATCTCAGGGAGATTCTAAAATTCCAAAAATGGCATGGGGGCACACATTGATAATTTTAATTTTTTTACCGTGTTTGAGTCACTCAGATAGCATAAGAACACGGCATAAGCAACGGCGAAATGCGTAGAACTGAAGGAAACTAGGTTTAAAACAGCAAAATGTTGTCTCTGCGGCCAAGAGAGCATCAAAGATGTTGGTCGGAGACGGATCTTTCTTCTAAAAGTTAACGGATCACAATTTAGTTTAAAAGTTCACACCCCTAATCTCAACTCATCTCATCGTGATCCCCCTCTAGTCTGGTTGGGTTCCATACTGTTGTCATAATTTTTTTTTGTATTATTCACTAGACTAGTGTTAATGCCAACCCTTGGATGTCGGGAGTCCATGCGGTCTCATCCATGTTTCTAACTGTGTCCGTCCCTGCCCAGGTCAAGCGGCCCCGCAGGCGGGAGCAGCGCCAGGTGGTCAGCCAGGTGGTCAGCCGGGTGGTCAGCCAGACTACAGTGCTGCCTGGGCGGAGTACTACCGGCAGCAGGCTGCGTATTACGGACAGGGAAGCCCACAGGCCATGGGGGCACAGCCACAAGCACCTCAGGTACGCCTTCAATGAGACCTTTACCCCCCCCGTTCCAACCCCCCCCCCCGTTGTTGTTCGACTTCTCCGCTATCTATTTCTGTTTTCCTGTATCGTCCGTCTGTCTTATTTTTGACTGTAACCCTCATTTCAACTCCCTTGCTGTCTTTTTTTATAAAGCCTTGTGTCTTATTGCATCTGTGTGGCTAACCCTGTTCCTTCCACTGGGTGTTATAGGGGAACGGAGGAGTCGGTGTGGCAGAGAGCAGAAACTAATGCTCCTCTTCCCTCTATTTAAACAGGTTTTAATATGATGTGTGAAGAAGTTGCGTCCATGTGTTCTGCTGTTAACATGGCCTGTATGTTCTATGTATTTCTTCTGCACAGGGCCAGTAATGTGAAGTGGACATAAAGTAAATGCTACATTGTGGAAACAAAACAAACCCCTTTGTTAAATGTGTTGGATGGTGCAGATGATGCCTTGAAGATCTTAATTTCCCCCCCTTGGTTGGTTGGTTTGAAGTGTTTCACAGTAGATGTGATGGCAGCGGTCTGTCTGGAGACACAAACCCTTCGTCCTTTGATATCTATCTTTTTGTTTTTCTAGTTTTGTTTCTTGTAAATGAATGGTTTGGTTTTTTTAGTGAGGTAATTATGTTCATTCCAGCCCCCTGTATCTTATCTTTGTCATACTGTGTGGTTAAAGAGCTCCTGTTATTAACTAGCTAGTTGTTTACCATGGAAAAATCATCTCCGTTTTTTAAATAATATGCCTGTTGTGTTTTGCAATAAAACAAAGTGAAACCTCCTGTGTTGGTAAGTTGGGTTGGTAATGGATATGACAATGTGAACTCTACTTCAAATCATGTACCTTTTTTGTTTGTTTTTGTTTTACCATTATGGCAGTGTCTCTCCGACTGTACACAGCTCTTGGTAACTTTACTACGGTGTTTTTAGATGTGCGTTCGTCTCACTGCTTTTTTCACCGGGGTCCAGTTTCGGTGTTCCCCAAGGTTCTGTTCTAGGACCACTATTGAATAGAAAAAATGTCCCCGTCTTTACTCTTGGTGATATTAGTCCTGTTTTTCTACCTCCGTCTACTGCTCTGTAGTACTAGGCAGATGTTTGTTACACCGTAATGTAGTATTAGTGGCTTAGCGTTATGATACATCTGACTCATGCATTACCTGCAGTGTTCGGGTTGTTGCGGCATCTCTGTCAAACAGCTGAACGTATAATCTTGCCTGGTGTGCTGACTGACTGACGTGGTGTCGTCTCAAATGGTACCCTATTCCCTTTAATAGTGCACAAGGCTCCCTAGAGCTCTAGTCAAAAGTAGTGTGCGATTTTTATAGGGAATAGGGTGCCTTTTGAGACATCCTGAAGCGGACTTTGTTGTGGTAACTTAGTGTGCTGCACTGTTTTCATAATATGAGTAACTTCCTCCTTCACAGGCAAGTTTAGACGAGCGGTAAGCAAAGCAAGTGTATATATGACCTTTTTTTTAAAAAATCCAAAATGTTCCTCAGAAAATGTGACTCTCACATCAGAAATGTTGCATTCGTTTTTTTTATTATTATTAGTGCATTTTTTGCTGCTCCCTCTGTCTCTTCTAGGACGTGGTAAACTGACGTGGTAAACTGACGTGTTCTGTTTTTGCTGTATTGCATTGCATTCAAACGTTTGTTCTCTTCCCCCCCCCCCCCTTAAAATGTATACATTTCCTGGCCTTTTGATACTATAAAAAAAACGTGAAATGCAAAAGTGGTATTTTTATTTTTGCTCTGCCCATGCATTGTTCTGTTAGTTTATCCAACGGAAGAACGTAGGTTGTCTGTAGGGCCGAGGGGTGGTCTGAGCTGGTCTGAGCGGTACCATCAGCCAACAGGGTTGACCTCTGACCTCCTACTCTGTAAGTACAATACTGTGACTATATATAACAAACCCAGTTACTGTAAGTATTATACTGCTATGACTATATATAACAAACCCAGTTATTGTCTGGCTGTCAATGTATTTCTTTGACTGATGATTACAAAACGATTGTTTCTGTCAAATTGCACCTTTTTTTTTTTTCCCTTAAAAAAGAAAAAAAAAAATACTGGGTAAGTATAAAAAGTTATGATAAAGTACAGTATTTTGGAATTGTTGTCATTCTGAAATTATAAACGTGTCTTTTGACCATTTGGACTTTTAGAGTACATTGAATATTGCATTGCAGTTTGTTCTATCCAGGCTCTGTTGTTTTTAGGTAGGAAAGTGTTCTACCAATAATATTTATTGTATTGGTAATTTACCAGTCGGACTGTTCAGTTAGCACTCTGAACTGAGGCGTAAGGATCCCTTCCTATCGAAGCAGAATGCTTTGTGCAGTGGTTCATTTTAGGAATGTTAGAAAGTGCTTGATTTTAGATAACAATAGTTTTGAAGTGCCGTTGCAAGGTCAGAATAGAGATGTAAATATGAATTTATTGAATCATTATTTGAAAAATAAATGCCGTTTTGATAGTCTTTAAGAATTTAGTTGATATTAGAAATGCATATTTTCACTGCAGTAATGGTGTGATTCAGTCTGAAATGTGTTCTCGTTTTCCCCCATGGTAGCATGTTGAAGTTGTTTCAATGCTGTTTTATTGATGTCTCCCATCAGCATGTTGGGTTGTCATTCAGTAGAATGTTCTACAAGTGCTTCTGATTCTAAGTGATGCAGTTATTCCATTGATCTGCTCTGACATGCCATTCTATTGATGTTGAGTGCTGTTGTTCTGAAACAAAACTTAAGGCTGTTTTGAACTGAGTGAGTTGGCAAAACGGCGCAATATCATATCTGTGTGATCTTTGCAGTATCACTGTCACCCCCCCAGACCTTGACCCTTAGGTTCTGCTGCGGTCACACAGGTAAGCGACCCTAAGGAAAACACCTGTGTTCTGACCTGTCATATATACAGGATATATATATATATACACCCAGATGGGATCCGTTTATACTCACCTGAATTTGCCTGATATATTTCTGCTTACCTGTGCTGTTTCGTAAACAGTAGCTGTGCTAAGGTTCTTTTAATAAACCATGTCCAGGTAGGATTTGTAGTGATATCAACCGCTGTTTTGCTCATAGTATATTGATGATAGTGCTGTGATCTGATGGTGATGAATGACTTGCATGGTACTTCATGAGTTGTTGTATATGGTTTGTTCTCGAGAGCAGCGACGTTTTTTTCCTCTTAGCCAATGCAATGTGGTTTGATTGCTTCTCCCAACTGACTTATCGTAGGACAATTAGCAAAAACGCGTTCTTTCTACATGCTCTTTTAAGTTCTCATTTTCTGAGGTCATTTTGTTGTCATTGATATACAGTATCCCCCCCCTCCATGATGAGGTATATTAATAATGCATAACTTGGTAAGTCTCTGCAGTGTGATCTGTGATGCATAGAGCTCGAGCCCTGTACTTTTTAAACATTATTATAATATAAACTGCATACAGTCAACTGTCATAAAGCCCAGTGTGCATATATGCGTACGTGTTTAAGTCTACAACCGTTTCTAAAAGTACACCTGCACATGATGCTCATGCTGTTGAACTGACTTGACTCATTGGTGTGATTTTTTTCAAAGCTGTGAAGTGAAATATACATTCTATATTGCCACAATGCTGCAGTGCTGTTACGGTGTTCTTATAAAAACCCTGCTGCCTGCCTCCACCTCTCACTCAGATGCTGTTGGGAGCCAGAGAAGGTTCTAGAAGCCAGCGTAGGTTCTAGATTCAGGAACAGGAACCTGTAAAGGTTGTCCCTCTCGTAAAGGAGACTGAGAGAGGCGTCCTTTGAGAGGCTGGTGATCAAGGTGTAGGTGACCATTCGAGAGCGAGCTCCAGATAAGGTAAAAAAAAAAGCAAAGCAAATGAAATACAGAATTCTGTGATTTGCTAAAGTTACCTGCTGTTTGCTAGTTAGGGCTGTCTTTTTTATTTATTTTTTGGGGGTCCAGGCCTCTCGTCTTAACGCAACATGCCGTAGAATTTCTGCTAGTTGTCTGACTGAACTGATGTCTAGTGTTTCTTCATGATGATTCTATTGAATGCCTTCCTTTGCCCACTCACCCACTGGGTGCGTCCCAAATGAAACCCTATTCCATAATAGTGCCCTACGGGCCCTGGTCAAAAGTAGTGCACTATAAAGGAATATGGTGCCATTTGGGAGGTAATCACTGTCATGATAACTAGAGCTTGTTGCATAGTTGAACCACCATCAGGACTCTAAAGTCCACCATTTTTAGTTGCATATGCTTCTAAATATTGTGTGACCTGACATTTATTTATTTATTTTGTGAACACCAGTGTGTCAGGGGGAAATAAATCACCCAGATAATAATTGTAATGATGGGCTTCGCTGGGCCGTTGTTTCCGAGTGCCCTTGAGGGGAAAAAAAGCCAGCGCAGATTCACTCAATCTAAAGCCTACATTTTAAAGAATGCATCAGTGATTTGTATTTCTTGCACATTTCTGAAGAAGTAACGACATGGGAACGCCTGTCAAAACAACTTCCTGTAGCCGGTTAGTGATGCCGTCATTTCTAAATGCTTTCTCATAAAACTTTCCAAATTTTAATTGTTAACTGCGACGTAGGCTTAACTAGCAATAATGATCTAATGTTCATGGTCTTTTGTTTTGCAAACTGCTATTGAATGCAGTAAAGGAACACCGCCAGCCAAACACCTTTTTTGAGGTGCGCAATTGAAATTAAAGGGTAACTATACCCTCAAATATTTGTATTTTCTTCCCCAGACCTCAAAAGGCGTCTCCTGATGTAGTTTAAGCATTGCTGTGGACTTAGAACATCCAATTAATTTATTTTGTGATTTTGAGTGAACCTTTATAAAATAAAAAGGGGCAATCCGACACCTGGAAGAACTAAACCGAGAGTTTTAGATTTTGGTGTTATGGCAAATGTATTGGCTGGTAAGAATTTGAGTGGCTGGTTAATAAAAAAGAATTGCGCTGGTAGATTGTTTTTCTTTGAGCGGTCACAGTGGCATTTTTTTAAGACCTGTTCATAAACCGGGTCGTTCCAAATCCACACTCAGGCATTTTTTTTTCTCAGTCGTATTACCTCAACTAGTTAGTTAACAACCTGGTTACTTTACCAGTATATCCAATCATCTGGGGGGCACAGAGGGAAAGGAAGGGATAGCTTCTTTAGGACACCAACGAATGAATGACTTGCATGTCTCATCACAGACTTGATGCTCTTAAAGAGACGGTGTAGGATTTTCACTGTAATGGATCTCAACAGGTAGTGCTATTACTCAATGTAGAAACCTCATATTCCATAAATGACTAATTTCAATGGCAGGTTATTGTATCAACATTTTAGCTTTTTTACAGGGTTAAATATTAGTTTCTAGAGCTCAACATGTGCTTCAAAAGTAGCTAGAATGCATAAGGCCCATTTATTTTATTTATATTTTTTGAGATGGCATAATCTTCTGGTGCTGCTAGATTTTTTGCTTTAGGAGCACCAGTGCTACCACCGTTAATTTTAGACCACTGCTAGAGATGGTTATCTGAGAAGTAACCCGGGAACTGCTGTTTTTGTGATTTTTCAAATGTCAAGATCTTTCAACCCTTTCGGCAGGAAATTGTAGAGTTGGCTACTTTCTAGTTTTCACTTAATTCATTAGAACCCATACGTCCCTTTTTTTACTTTATGAAATAATGCAAAATTAGAAAATCACTAGCAGTGTATTCTCTGTGTGAGATGCTCTCTCCTCTGAGCAAAGTGTTAAGGCAGAGTTTTGGGTTTTGGGGGCGTAGAAGAGTAAATCAGAATGGAGAAATGTGGATCATGCCTTAGAGGTAAACAAATCAAACAGGTTTCATGTGATGCTTTATTATCAAATGTATCTTTTTTTTTTTTGTTTCCTGTCTTTTATAAATGACTGTGCATCTTTGTTGCCCTGTGCAGTAATAAAGCTGTTACATTTAGCCATTGTGTCTGCTCCTTGTTTAACTTTCATAGTCAACTGGCCCCGTGTCGCTCAGTTGGTAGAGCATGGCGCTTGCAAACGCCAGGGTTGTGGGTTCGATTCCCACGGGGGGCCAGTATGAAAAATGTATGCACTCACTTAACTGTAAGTTGCTCTGGATAAGAGCGTCTGCTAAATGACTAAAATGTAGATTTGAGGATGAAACTACAATTCAACTTTATGAGCTCTGTTCCAAAATGTACCTGTTCATCTTAACGCTTCACATGTATAGTCCTGGTTTAAAAAAAGGGCACGATCATCTTTGTCAAC